AGTTATTTTGACGCGGTGGCATTTTCATAATTTTTTTGGAGGGGGTCTATAAGTTATGATTTATTGGTTAAAAGTTCGTGTTTTGAGCTTATAAGTTAGACTTCGCAGCTTCTCAGCCTAAGTGGGACTTCTCACATGATCTTTTCTCTCTATATATATATAGGGGTGAGATCACATACAAACCATGCTTAATTTACTAACCTACAAACTCAATAATATGCAACACTTTGAACTTCAATATGCAGTACAAGTAATGTCAAGATGCACTTTTTGAACTTCAATATGCAATACAAATAATCTAAACATGAAATTGCTATTTTATGGCTTAAATAATAGGCTAAAGGGTCAAATAGGTACATGAACTAACTTAAAGTGTTCAATTAGCCCCTTATATAGGAGGTTCTGCCGAGCCGTCGCCAATTGGGGCGGTTTCCGGTGGAATTTTTTGATGAAATGTTTTGAACATCTTCTTCTTTAAGTCTAGTTTACCCATACCAAATTTCAGCTAAATATTCAACCGGGAAGGCAGTCAAATAATTTTTTGAAGATAACTGCGCAGTTAAACAGCGCAGTACATTTCGTAAAATCATTTGACTGCCTTCTAGATTTAATTTTTAGCTGAAATTTGATATGGGTAAACTAGACTTAATGAAGAATATGCTCAAAAAATTTAATCAACAAATTCCACTGGGAACCGCCCCAATTGGCGACGGCCGGGCAGAATCTCCTATATAAGGGGCTAATTGAACACTTTAAGTTAGTTCATGTACCTATTTGATCCTTTAGCCTAAATAATATGTAACACTTTGAACTTCAATGTGCAATACAAATAATGTAAAGATGATTTGAATGGGAGGACTAGTTTTTGTATGATCTCACACCTGCATCTTTACATTGTTTTTACTGCATATTGAAGTTCAAAGTGCTGCATATTATTGAGTTTGTAGATTAGTATTTTAAACATGGTTTGTATTTGATCTCTTATGTGTGTGTGTTCGGAATTCTGGACAGGAATCTCCGTCCAGACGGCAGCGTTTTGCCGCCTTCCCGGTGAAATTGTTTCATAAAATTTTTTGGGCATGTTATCCATCAAATTTAGTTTATCCATAAAATATTTCAGCTAACAATTCAACCTGAAAGGCTGTCAAACAATTTTTGGAAGATAACTGCGTTTTTATATGTATATTATGACGCAGTTATCTTCCAAAAATTATTTGTCTGCCTTCTCGATTTAATTTTTAGCTGCATTTTTTGTGGATAAACTAGATTTGATGGAGAACATTCCCAAAAAATATCATAAAAAAATGCCAGCCGGAAGGGCTCCAAAAGCCACCTTCCGGACAGCAGTTCCGCTCAGGCCTTCTTGATCGGAACCGCCCCAAAAGGGACCCTCAGGAGAGAAATATAGGGAGCGGTTTTGATAAGAACGAACCATCAGGAGAGAAATGAGAATGAACATGGACCGTTGGATTGTATTATGTAAAACTGAATTGTGCATTTGGTGAAACTGAAATGTGAATCAGATGATTCTGAAATTTGCAGAATAAAAATTTAAACTCAAGTGTGCAGTAGAGGAAACTGAAATGTGCAGAATAAAAGGTATAGAAATAACATCACATCGTATCTTTTTATTCTGCACATTTCAATTTCACCTAATGCACAATTCAGCTTCACATAATGCCATTGTATCGTACTCTTTGTGGTGCACATTTAAATTTCACCTAATGCACATTACAGTTTCATCTGATGCACACTGAATTTCACTTAAAGCAAATCTAACGGTTAAGATTCATTCTCATTTCTCTCCTAAGATCATGTTCTTATTTGAATCAAAACCTACACACATGTGTGTGAGTGTAGGTATATATATCGGGGAAAGGTACAAATATACCCTTCTAGTATATGTGTGAGAACAAATATACTCATGTTCTATTTTTTGGTACACATGTATCCCTTAAGTTTATGTGTAAGTGCATATATACCCCTGAGCTTTTAAAATGTGAAAAAATACCACTCATATTCCTATAAAGGAACAAATTTACCATTATTGATTTTAAATAGATAAAATAACTTTTAAAAAACACCAAAAATAAATTTTAAATTTCAGATTGAAAAAAAAAAATTTTACTTGTGTCCAACTCTTCCTTTTATTCTTTTATATCACAATTTAATAGTGTCAGTACAAAATACTATTTCAAAATTTACTATATATTTAAGATTCTTTCGAAAAAGTATTAATATATGTGTTGCAATGTAAAAAAATCATTAATTTTTGTATTCTTTACACTGAAATTACATATTTTGTATGCTGATAATAGTCCAAGATTACAAAATAGTGAATTTAATTTTTATATGGTTAAACAAAATCCAAGAATGCAACAATTTATTCCACATTTTGCTACAAGAGTAAAATTAATATTTATGAATTTGAAGTGCTTCATTTGCAACGGAAAAATAATATTTTGCAATTTAAAATTAAAGAGTTAATATTTTAAGATAAAAATAAATATTTGTTTTTAACACTTTAACTTTTTATTTTTCATTTTCGAATTTATTATTTATTTTTAGTGTTTTGAATTATTTTTAAAGTCAATAAGTGTAAATCTGCTCCTTTATAGAAATAAGAGGGGTATTTTTGTACTTTTTAAAAGTCCAGGGGTATATATGCACCTCCACATAAATTATAGGGATATATTTGTTGCAGAATATAGAATGAGGATATATTTATTCCCACACTCATACTACAGGGGTATATTTGTACCTTTTTCCTATATATATTTTACGCAGTGTTTTTCAATAATTTATTTAATTGACTTTCAAATTTAATATTAAGCTGAAATTTTATAGATATAATCGTATCTACACTTCATGAAGAATATACTCTAAAGTTTTATCAAAAAATTTGATTCGCAAGCAGCTCAAATTGATGCGGCCGGATGGAAGTTCCCCGATAAAAAAAGTCTGACCGGAACATTACTCTCTCTATATATATTCAGAGCGTAATATGTTTATCTCAATGTATAAATGACGATGAGAATGTAGCGGACTTACAAGAAAACAAACAAACAAAAGATCTAGGTAAATTGCCCAAAATAGGAGCAAATGAAATTTGGAATTCTAAAATAGGACTAGTATGTTTTTCTTTCCCGAAATTGGAGTTGTTACTGTCATATATGAAAAGTACTGTCATGATTGAAAAATACTGGCATTAATTATAATAAATATTGTCATGTTAAATGCACGTATTGTAACTATTTGACAGTCACGCTTACAAGATCACAGTAAATACGACCATGTTAGTCTCATTTCGGGAATCAAAACATAGGAGTCACATTTTTGAAATTCAAACTCCATTTACTCATATTTTGAGAAATCTCCCAAAAATCTAAAAACTAGACGTCATTGCTTACCAATCTCATTTTTCTTTCTAAGTACGGAGTATTCTAGAAACTGTTTACCAAATGTTGAACTAAAAACTTGTAAAGATTTTCATCATAAATTTATAAGCCTATTGACAGCTTTCTACCCCGCACGTAGCTTCCTGCTATGAGTCTCAACTCGCATCACATCACATGTTGCACGGCGAAAAGAGTGGCAATCTTCTTTTATTACTACCAAATAATTTCTTGCACTGTTATAGCAATGTTTGCAAGATTTGATTTGGGTTTCTGCTACGAGAGGTTTTGCATCTATTGTAATATATGATCCGCTTATAACAATTAGGAGCATAGTTGGGGGAGCTATTTATGGAACGAATAGTTCCCATTTCCCAATATGAGAGTAAAAGTTTTTAAAAGAAGCCATAAAATAATGAGAACTTCCTTATCGGTTTACTCAATTAGACCATTTGTCATAGATTCATAATGGCTATTACCTCCGTGGACCGTCCCCTAATATCGATACATGAGAATGTGACACAGTTATCAAGAAATACAAGATAAATTTATGTGGTTGATATTGAATAAATAAAGTGGAAATGCAGTAAAAATGATTTAAATTTGCACAAAAAATATCAAATTTGATATGAGGCTATCTTAATGGAATAGACAAAAAAATACAGGACAATCTTAAGGCAACATAGAGGTACTATATTCATATAATTAAAATATCACTATTGATATACTACATTTTTAAAATATCAGATTAGTATTTCATACGTTGAACATTCAAATGTTACAAAAATGATACAGAGAGTACTGGAGTAGAAGTAAAGTGCACAAATAAGGATGTTTGTATTGGATTAAGATTTTATGGTCTGGTTAAATCAAATCAAATTAGACCTAATCAAAACTAAATCAAATCAAATTAGACCTAATCAAAACAAACCAAATTAGATCAGGCCAGATTAAATCAAACTAGATCAGATCTAAAAATTTCAATCCAGCTAAAAACATAAGGATTAATTAGACCTTATGTATACATGCATGCATAAATGATTAAGGATGTTTTTATTTGGACTGTTTTCAGTTCTAAACCAGACCAAACTTGACCAGACTAGACAAGACTTTGATAATTATAAAATACACAGAGACCAGATATTTATCAAACCAGATATACTAGATCATACCAAATCAAACCAGACCAGAAAATTTTAATCTAAGTAAAAACATCTTAAAAGTGTCTGGTACCAATAAAAAGTAGTTTTACAACACAAAATGCAAACGCCTATGCTTTTGAGCATGTGAGTTGCACTGTTGCATTGAGAAATTTTTCTTCATCCAATTGTGATCCTTTATGGCACACTATATTATATGCAGAAAGTCCACTTTTTGCAAAGTAGAAAAACTTTGATTTATTTACGGAAATGTCATCACGTTTTTAATCCACTTTAATGCGTTTTTTACATATTTAGAGTCATTAGATCCTCAATCTAATGCTCCAAATTTATTTTTACTTTTCATGGAAAGGAGGGAAAAACTATTTGTATTTGATTATCTTGTGCTCCATATTCGCGGATATAGCACTTGTTTCACATATTATGAATATAGTAGTACTATCGTATTTAAGATGGCACATAAGATCAAAACATTGGACCTATACATCTAAATAATGCATACAAGAACCAATACATACTATGTATGTTACAATTGTAGAACTAAAACGTAATAAAACAGTGAAATGATATACTCCATAGTCAAACTCACATTATCTTTAGTTAAGGGAGAAAAATACTAGAGTAACTCTTAATTGGCCAGAACTTCCCATATCAACTCTGGATCAAAGGAAGGCATTCTCGCCAGGGAACAGCCTTCGAACTCTGGTTGACCCGGCGCCGTCAAAATCTCGCCGGAGGCGGGGCTCGGCGGCGACGTCGTCTCCCTCATCGAAAACCCATCTTCAGAGAACACACTCGAGGGACTTCCCACTAAAACTTTCCCACTTTCCGTTCCAGCAAACGATGAGGAAGAGTAAGAAGAAGATGACGACGAAGACTCAATAACATGAACAATCCCACCGGATTCGGTCCTCTTTTTTGCCATCTTCTTATTCTTATCTCTTTCCATTTTCACCTTCTGGTTAATGGACTGGATTTTCGCATAGACAGCATTCTTGACGGCCACCAGCTTCGGGTTTCCCCCGAGTTTCTCGGGATCGCGAAGCTCGGGGAAATTCAGCCGCGCATAGTCGCCGCGGAGGATAACGGCTGCGGCGTCGTATGCATAGGCGGCGGTTTCGGCAGTCTCATAAGTCCCTAACCAGACTCTGACTCTGTTCTGAGGGAGTCTAATCTCTGCCACCCATTTCCCCCAGTGCCTCTGCCTCACTCCTCTGTATACCTTCTTCTTCAGCATCTTCAGCATCGCTGTCGTCTCACTGGCGGCCGGACGAACCAAAGAAGAATTCCCGAATGGGTTCGCTTTGTTTTCTTGGCAGAGCTTCCGGAGTAAATCTATATGCGTGAGATACACTGAAGAACCCAGAGGGGTAATCGGGACTTTCTTGAGCAGGGGATCAGAAAAAATGGAGCTTGATGAACATTTCCCGCTGTTTATAATGAGGTCGGAGAGGGATTGCCGGACTTCTGCATTTTCTGAGATCATTTTCAAATGACTATGATCCATTTAGTCCGTTTCACTTTTCAAGATTTCTATTGAGAAGCAACAGAGAGTGAGTAAATGTGTGTTTTTTTGGCTGAGAGGGGTGGAAGAATGGGAGCTTTTTATGTGTCCTCTGCATTTAGGGAATCCTGTACTTGGTGTATTTATAGCTGAAGAGAAAAAGTGAACCAACCCCCCACCCACCCCACCCCACCCTTGTTGTTTAACTTTTTTATGATAATGATGATTAATTGTCAAACTTCAATGTCTTTCGTATACTGCCTGTATACTCATCGGTTCTCAATTCCCTTGGTCCAAGATGGAAGAATGTTAATCACGGTGACTCCTTCGGCCCAATGATGGTAGACCTTTTTTCCGTACGCACCAGAGGCTAAGTCTTATTTTAGGTTATGTGACCTCCACACGGCCGCTGCGGGTTTCGAATCTTGATCACTTAATCCAAATTTCCCACCACTGAACCAACTGAGCTATCCGTACGGGTTCAGTTCCCAATTCCCATTGGTATTTATGGACGAAATTTCATCATTAGGAACATATACTTGAATAATAACCGAAGTTTTAATATATTATCTGTAATACCATTCCATTTTAAAAATCATCATGCAGTTTATGTGTTCATCTTGGAGAATAGAAAATTGAATAATACTTGGTATAAGAAGAGATTATATTTCAGCAAGGAAGTGTTTAATGTGCATGGTTTCATAAATGGGCACATGAAATTAAACACAGAAGCATGGGTGGGTTTTGGAACGTTTTTAATTAGACTAGTTTCAATGAAACCAAGATAGACTGGATTAGTTCAAATCAAGCGAGACAATATCAGGAGTCCATAACAAATCAGACTAAAGTAGACTTCGACGGTTGTAAAATGCAATAGAACAAACATCTAATAGACCGAAGCAGACTAATTCAGACTAGACTATATCACAGATCAAACCAAACTAGGTCTGACCAAAAAAAATTTGAGTCCACATTAAAAACATCCTAGGTAGGGATCGTGTCAAACTATTGTCACTTCTAAGGTGTTTTGGTTTGGTTTGTGTCTCATATCATGTCAATTAACAAGTTAGATTAGAATAGACCACATTAGACCAGGGTTATATAATATTTTTTATGTTCATTAAAATTTTGTCATCTTTGACTTTTCAAGTCAACGGTGATAAACTTTGGACGATGATTTTTGTGAGTATAATTTTATGAAAGTTATAAATTTTATACTTTTATTAAAGTATTTTTAACAAAGAATGAAATATTTTTGTATCATTTTTATAATATAAGTAATTTCCTATAGAAATATATCATTGGTTAAAGTCTGATTTGATTAATCGAAAATTTTAAAGAAGACAATGTTTTAATAATGATGGTTCATACAAAGGGTGTAGACACTATTATTTATGGTAAAGAAAGGTTACAAAAATTACACACTAAACTCATATTCTTTAACTAGTACACCTCTTTACTCTATTAGTGAGAAGAAGACATTAAAGAATGCGGGTGCCTCGTGAGAGAGGGGCGCGTGGACGTGGCCGTTTTCCTGCCACTTTAGCACCGGGCCAGAAACCCAACCCACCCGCATGAGGTTGGGTTTGATTCAGCTTCAGGGGATGCAACATCGTATAAAACTACCACTTCAAGTGTTGTAATAAAAATGTCTTCTTTGTCACATTCAAATACTAAATTCTTATCTACAGGGATCTCATCGGATGAGGGTATTCTTGAGTCCATTATACCTCCAGTTATTTCCCAGATTTATTTTTTCACGGGTCATTGTGCTCTTAGCTAGGTGTCCTCGTTTATTTGATCAACCATTTGCTCCACTTTTAGTTCTGAATGGTGAAACTAGTGATGTCTTATGGTATCCTTATTTGGGTGTTTTTGCTCATAGACTTCTTCACAAGGTATTTTAGTTTATAAACACCCTTATTTTGGTCTCACATCTGTACGTTAGTGTTGCGGTACTCATCTTTCGTTCTTCATGTAGGAGATGTAGCTTTAAATTCATCTGGCCATCATCTCCTAATAAAATTCATTTATCATGCGTCACACATTAAATATATTTCAATTTCTATTTAAAAATTGTATGTTGATGCAACTGTATTGTTATTTTTTACTAAAAGATCCTCTTTTGTTAAAGACAAAGTTCTGGGGGTAAGCATGTTTTTACTTGTGGTAATTGCCCGTTTAGTCCACTTTTTCTAGTTCCATTTCATTTATGTCACCCCATGATTTCTTTTTCATTTAAAGACTTTTGATTTTTCAATTTTATTTTTTTAATTTCAAAAATAACCTAATTTAATTCTAAATCAAGTCCAGAGATCGATTGGATGCCGGCAGTCTGGCACCTCAATCTTCTTCATCCATCGTCACGACATATCAAACTGCAGCAGAGAGACCGTGCGACTGTTCTCTTCCCATCCAACTCTGACTGTGCCTCCATCCTCCGCGGCTTGGCCCTCCTTGTTCATCCATCCTCGCGACCTCACAGCGAATCGATTTGAAGCGTTAATTACAAAAGTCAGAGACGTTCGCCGTTGTCCCCCAGCGGCGTCTCGACTCTTCGATCTGTGGGCTCCACCCTCTGCTCTTGCCTGCTCAACTGCTCCTCCAATCGTTGCCCGACTCCCTCACTGCTTTCCGATTTGCATGTATGTGTGAATTTTGAGAATTTTACCTTCACTGTAATTGTTGTTATAATTCATATAGTTAAAATTTATTTCTTGTTTTCGATTCAGTTTTGTTTTACTTTTTGCTTTATTTTTGTTATAATTGAATTTCATTTTTAAGATCCCCAAACCACATGACACACATGAATTTTAGATTGGAGTATTTTTGCTTTTTGAATTGTTGTATATTAATGGAATCTCTCACGTTTCAGTTAATCAAAGCTCGGAAATCATGTGTCCCTGTACGATTGCTCAGAGTGCATTGATAAAAAGGTATTAGATCTTCTCATCTGCATTTGTGCTTGCTTATTCTATCTTATTCCTATCCTCTCTTTAATATGAAAAAAAAACTTTGCAGGCGCTAAGTATTACATGATCTGCTGCTCTTCCAAATGAAAAGGTATACACTAAATTGCTTGATTTTGCTGATATTTGTATTGTAATGATCTGAGTTGCTTCATTTTGCTGGTATTTGTATTGTAATGATCTGAGTTGATTCATTTTGTTGACCTAATTGTAACATAGTGCAACAAAAAGAAACACTAGGAAACAATAGCAAACAAAGAATTGTAACAAAACTGAAATCTAATTTTAAAAGTCACATCCATTAGAGGATGTAATTTACAAAAGTAGCTAAGTATTACAGGGTCTGCTGCACTTCCAAATGGCCATACTTTGTAGGGTTAAACATTATGCTGAAATCTAGAAATTAGAAACTACATTGTAAATTTTTAAACATTATAATTGTAACACCCCCGTTTTTCCCACCCAAAACAATGATATATTTTAAAGAAATACTTTATTTATTCATCAAAGTACTGTCCCCACAAACCACCACGAGCCTTTACCGAGGCCCCGGCCCCGTAGGCCCCGAGGTAGTTACTTCTGACCTCTAGTACTGTCCCCACAAACCACCACGAGCCTTTACCGCGCACTTTGTCCTCACTCATGCGCGCCCTGAGAAACTTCTCAGGGGGTCACCCATCCCAAGACTACTCCTGTGCAAGCACGCTTAACTTTGGAGTTCTTGAGGGATGAGCTCCCTTAAAAGGAGATGCACCTCTGTTGGTATGAGTAGTACTATTAATCCTCTTAAATTAATCTCGGGTATTACAATCACCCCCACTTAGGATTGCAACGTCCTCGTTGTGCCCTTAAACCAATCTCAATCAACCCCCTGAATCTTGCCCCGCTAAGTGACCGCCCGATATCCAACGGGTCAGCACACTGTCGCAGGGTTGCTCTGATACCACTTGTAACACCCCGGCCCCGTAGGCCCCGAGGTAGTTACTTCTGACCTCTAGTACTGTCCCCACAAACCACCACGAGCCTTTACCGCGCACTTTGTCCTCACTCATGCGCGCCCTGAGAAACTTCCCAAGGGGTCACCCATCCCAAGACTACTCCTGTGCAAGCACGCTTAACTTTGGAGTTCTTGGGGGATGAGCTCCCTTAAAAGGAGATGCACCTCTGTTGGTATGAGTAGTACTATTAATCCTCTTAAATTAATCTCGGGTATTACAATAATCTCCAAGAATTGAAATGTTTCTACCTTTACTTTTAGATGTGGGAAGGGGTTCTGGTGCTTATAGATGTATTCTGGCTCATAATTTACCCTTTTCTCACTAATAAAGATTACCGGTTGCATTTTGCAAGTCAAACCTTAACTTTTTTTACCTTCTAAGTTCTAAGTCAAACATGCCTGCTTAATCACTTTCTGACTTTTTCCTTACTAATATAGCTGGTCTTTTGTATATGCATTCTATAAATGTTGTTTGCCTTCTGGCTGAATGTGTGTAATGTGTATAATGAAAAATTGAATATAATAAAATATCAATGAGAAACAAAACTCAACAATAAAAAACAAAATATGAAAATTCATCATTCAAAAGAAACAAAAGGCAAAACAAAGCAATCATATAAAAAATGCAACAAAGCACAACATAACAATTGATTATAACAGAATACTAGTGAGAAACAAAAATCAACAATAAGAAACAAAATATGAAAATTCATCAATCAAAATAAACAAAAGGCAACACAAAGCAATCATATAAAAATGCAACAAAACGCATCATAACAACAAGAATAGTAATAACATTATTATAAAAAAAATTATATTTAATATTTCGAATTTAAAATAATTTACTTTTTTAAAAACTGTAACTAGTTTAAGTAAAATTTTATTAAAAAATTATATGTTGTATTTCGTGACATTTTATCTACTTAACTCTTTTAACATTTTTTGGATTATGTATTTCCTAATTTTTATTCATATTTACTATTGATAAAACTTCTAATTTTTAACACTACATAATACTATTGTTTTCAATTTTTAGATTATAGTACTTTATTTATGTTTAGAAAGATTTGTAATAATATTACAAGCTTACATTACAAAATCAATAAACTTGAACAGGTTGGCAAGGAGATTGTGGATGTCTATTTGCAGA